GTCAAAATCACTTTCTCGGACTCCGGGGGCATGTGGAACTTGTTGAAAAAGATGAAGTGTAAAGAGATCTCATCTGCGCTCGCTGCTACCGACCGCCTGGAGGTCAGTACCACGCCCGGGCACCGCTTGCTCTGGCATGGTATCGACAAGTACGGTCGGGAAATCGAAGTCAGTGGCCGCCAGAAGCGTGCGAAGACTTGTGATCGTCGACGAGATCATCCGGGTCAAGGACGCCATAAAAAGGGCTCGTTGTATTCACTCTACGCAGGCTGCCTGGGGGAGGGAACGCCCGACCAGTGAAGCTGCTCGATCAGAACTGGGGGTCGCACGTGCTCGACGTCTGCTGGCTGGCCCATGCCAGCTTGATGGACCACGGCCTCGAGATCGATTTGCCGGCGAAGCTGGACGAGATCAGCGCGCCCTCCATCGATCGAAATGATCCCGGGTACGGTGGCGAAGCGTTCGGAGAGGCCTCGGGGGCAGGGGGCGCGTTATTTGGAATCCCAGAGGCTTATCTTGAACTGACGCGGGTATTGTACTACAAGGGTTAAGCACGAATTCCAGGTAGTCAGGGCTGTGTTTACAGGAGGTTAACGGCTTTGCCGCCGAGCTGCGAGATGGATTTTACGGCGTGGACGGGCGCAGGGTTTATTGCCTGGCCTCCATTGGTGGTTTCAGGCAGCCTGGTGTTGTCCTTCGTGTGGATCTCGTCCCGTTCGTGCAGGGTGGCTCCATTTTCGTCAAGAGGTCACTTGGGGTGTGTTGGAAGGAAACCGGGATAACAACATGGTTCATACCCTCGCTTTTGGACCGAGCACTTCTCGCAAAGTTTTCTATTCTTCTTTGGGCGAGCTCGAAAACATTTTGCAACGTGTCTCCAATGGGGCCAGGATCTTGCTTGGCATCGACTCCCAGGTGAGCCTTTCTGGGTTCAGAGACGATCTCACCCTTGTGGGGCCATATGCTCATGATGCATGTTATGAGGGACCTTCCGCCACTATACGACATGGAGGGCGACTGCTTTGTGCGGCCTTATGGCTCGGCACTTACTGCGTGCTGCGACTGCGTCCTTGCTTGGTAGGTCTGGCCAGGCAGCGTTTGTGGGGCAGCATTGTGAACCTCAGGTCGTTTATTGTTCGATTGTCCGTGGTTTCGATCTTGCAAGTCTTGGTTGTGAAGTTTTTGATTCCCCCTCGAAGGGCGCTTCAGACCATCGGCCCGCGGGGCATGCGGGAACAGAGCCACGGTGCGGACCAGGAGGAGGACGATGTCATGATCGAGGCTCTGCCCAGAAAACAAACCCATTGGTTGGGCACGTGCAGACGTCGGCGATTACCGCGACCTGTTGTTGCGAGATGTCTCAAAGAGCCACGGTGTCCGGTTGGCGAGTCGTCGACGAGGGACTTGAACTCATGCGGTCTGTTCGTGGGTGGTTCCTTCTGGGAATGCACGAGGAAGAGGCCGAGACGAGCAGCCAGGGCCTCTCGTTGTGGCTGGGGGCTTGCGCCGTTTCCAACTCTCTGGCCGCAGTCGAAGCCAGATTTCTGTATTCCAGTTGTGACCCAGTCCAACTGGAAGCGCCTCGTCCTTCCTCCGTGGGTGCAACGCTGCGCTCTGTGGCTCTTGAACGAGTCATCTAGCGACCCTGGTAAAGTGGAGCCTGTGAAGGCGGATTGCGTCATGTTCGATTCGCTTTGCACCGCCGGTGTCATCGATAATCTATCTGTGATTCGGCAGAACGTTGTTCCTCCGTGTTTGCCGCAGTCTTTGTGGACGCGCTGCCGAGGGAGATTCTGCGTGAGACGGCCCGCGTGGCGACGGTCACACCGCGGTGACGTAGGGAACGACTTCGCCGACTCACTGGCAGAAGCTGGAGCTCGCGACGGCGAGGCCCACCTAGCTAAACATCAGTGGTGGTGGTTTTACTTGCAAGATTAGGATTCGGCGGACTTCGGGGCGCGGATTCAGGCCTGGTCGGTGCCGAGGCGACGGCGCGCAGCATTGCGCCGCTCGCGGAAGAGCTGTCGTGGGGCCGTGCGAAGCGGCGCGAGATTTTTGTTCGCACGGGGCAGTGGGGCGATCAGGAGGGCGACGAGGTGCAGAGAACGTGCGACGAGCAGGTCCGGAATGACAGCAATGGTCTACCTCTCCCCTCCCTGACTTTCGTGGCCCGCGTGGTGAAGGAGGAGGCCGACGACTGCGGTCGCCCTGAGCGCGGGGCCGCCCTCGAGTGGAGATGGGCCCCCTCAAGCAGCAACAGCGCCAGGCCGTGACAGATCTTCGCTGTGAGGTTTCCGACGTGCGACGCCGACAGTTATCGCAGATTGCGCGCGAACTACGCGTGCTTATCCGTCGGGGGAAGCAGGGCGCATTGGCCGTGATGCGTGTTGGCCGGGGGCGCGCTGGCGAGACGTACGAGCGAGGCTCTCGGGCTCAGAAGCTGGAGTCCGAGAACGGGGGTCATCAACGAAGATGACGAGTTGGCCGAGTGCGGCGCCGTCTTTTACGAGGCTCTGTGCAAATCGGGCAAGTCCTAGGTCTTGCCCAGTTGGATTTTCCAGCGGTGGGAGCTGGGGGACGTGGCCAGCTTGCTAGACGTAACCGGGTACTTGATGCGCCAACTTGTATTTGTTTTGAAGAGAGATCGGAAGTGTTCGCGCCAAGACGTGGTCGTCGCAGAGATGTTGCAAAGTCAGCCGGAAGACCTGTTCAGCATCTTTGCGGACTGTTTCAATTTTCGCATCGCTTGCCGCAAGTCGGTGGGCGAGGCTGCCGCGTGTGATTGGTATGAGCTGCACCTACTAGAAAAGGTAATCAGGCCCCGGTCAATCGGGCAATTTCGGCCCATCGCCATCTTGAGTGTTGTATATGAGTTGTGTAGTCTGTTGATCGCCGACCTCGCTGGCATCAAGTGTAAGTTTCAAGGCGAACAGCAGCTTGCACTCCGACGAACAAATCGAAGTGCAGAGATCATCTTGAGCATCCGCCAGGTCATCGAGAAGTATGCCGATCATGATATGTTGTCGATTCCCGTGGACGGGGGCGCTTGGGAAGCGTGCGACTGGAATGGGCGCTTGGAGGTGCTCGAGAGCAACGGGGCTAGGAAGGTTCCTAGGATCCTCGCTGCAGCGAAATTGCGCGATATCCGCCGCGTGCAGATGTCAGCAAAGCTTCCCGGGGCGAGCCTATCCAGGAGGATCCAGGGGGCGCGGGGCTCGATTCTGGGCGACTCCGAGGCGCCAGCGGAATTCAATTTGACCCTCGACAACGTGGTGGTGCAGCAATTCATGGCGCAGGCGCAGGAAAAAATACTGGGGCCCAAGTGTCGAGAACAACAGGATCCAGGAGATGGACTACTTTTGGGGGCAAGTTTTCCCCGCGGCAGAGAGAGCTCGGCGCGCAGTCGCTCGCGTTCCACATGTGGTCTCTGCGGGCAATTTCTGGTTGCTCGGCGCTTCAGCGGCGCAGGTGCGGACAATGACAGGTTCCTTGAGGAGGAAATTATCGTTGCTGGGGCGCTGGGTGCTACCTGTGCTGACGCGCGACGTCGGCGCGCTCCATTCGACGCGACGTCATCTGCGTAAATTCTGGAACGCGGAAGCGACTACGCAGAGACGAATTGGTCATCGGCGGTTCCTTGCGACTTGGGTGGGTGGCTTGGAACGCACGGGCGCGGAGAGGGTGGCCAATTGCATGATGGTGGTTGCGGGTCGCTTGAACTGTCTTCGGGCGCGTTAGGGCTGAAGCGCTGGGACGTGGCCGCGTTTGGCCAAGTCTACGTCGGGGCGGGCCATGTGGCTAGATTCCAAAAGTGGGCCCCTGACCGGTATGCATTGCGTGCTCTTCTCTACCGGGACATGTCATACTTGAAAGCGCCGGTAGCCGAGCGCGGGCGCCGGATGCGCTGCGGGAAGTTCAGGGCACGGCAGTGTGGGAGTGGTTGACAACAAGCTCGACTGGCAGAGGCATCGAATTAAATTTGCAAAAATCCGACTTCAGCTCAGGGCGCAACGCTTACTTTTCATCGCATTTTCTTGTTTGACCGGCGGCGAGACGCATCCGAGGCCAGTGCGCGCGTCGTCGCTGTCGGCGTCGCCGTCGCCGCCGCCGTGGCCGTCGCCGCCGTTGTCGTCGTCGTCGTCGTCGTCGTCGTCGTCGTCGTCGTCGTCGCCGTCGTCGCTGCGCCCGTCGCAGTTTCCGTGGTCGCCGTCGTCTCAGTCGCCGCCGTCGCCGTCGTCGTAGTCGTGGCCGTCGGCGTCGTCGTCGTCGTCGTCGTCGTCCTCGTCGTCGTCGTCGGTCGTCGTCGTCGTCGTCGTCGTCGCCGCCGCCGTCGCCGTCGCCGTCGCCGTCGCCGCCGTCGCCGTCGTCGTCGTCGTCGTCGTGGTCGTCGTCGTTTTCGTCGTCGTTCCTGTCGCCGCCGTCGTGGTCGTCGTCGTCGTCGTCGTCGTCGTCGTGTTCATCGTCGTCGCCGTCGTCGTCGTGTTCGTCGTCGCCGTCGTCGTGTTCCTCGTCGCCGTCGCCTTAGTCGTCGTCGTCGTCGTTGTCGTCGTCGACGTCGTCGTCGTCGTCGTCGTCGCCATCGTCGTCGTCGTCGTCGTCGTTGTCGTCAAAGTCGCCGTCGCCGTCGCCGTCCCCGCCGCCGCCGTCTCGGTCGCCGTCGTCGCCATCGTGGTCGTCGTCGTCGTCGTCGTCGTCGTCGCTGTCGTCGTCGTCGTCGCGGTCGCCACCGTCGTCGTCGTCGCCGCCGTCGCCGTCGTCGTGGTTGTCGTCGTCGTCGTCGTCGTCGTCGTCGTCGCGGTCGCGTCGCCGTCGTCGTCGTCGTTGTCGTCGTCGTCGTCGTTCGTCGTCGTCGTCGTCGTCGTCGTCGCCGTCGTCGTTGTCGTCGTCGTCGTCGTCGTCGTCGTCGTCGTTGCTGACGCCGTCGCTGCTGTCACCGCCGTCGCCGCCGCTTCCGTCGTCGTCGTCGGCCTCGCCACCGTCGCCGTCGTCGTCGCCGTCGTCGTCGCCGTCGTCGTCGTCGTCGTCGTCGTCGTCGCCGTCGTCGTCGTCGTCGTGGTCGTCGTCGTCGTCGTCGTCGTCGTCGTTGTCATGTCTTTGTCGTGGGCGCCCAACGCCATCGAAAGCGCGCGCGCTCGCTTGTGCTGCGTTGTGCGCGGGCGCAAATTTCGCGCCCGCGCCTGGCCCGCGCGCGGGCGGGCAAGCTGGGCGCGCGGGCCGCCTCCCGCGTTCCTGCGCCGCGCGGCGCGCGGCCCCGCGAGAAGGGCCCGCGCGCGCGAGGCGGGGGGGCGTCAGCATGTGCCTCGCGGCGCGCGGCCCCACGCGAAGGGCCTGCGCGCGCGAGGGGGGGGGGGGGGGAGCGACGGCACGTGCCTCGCGGCGCGCGGCCCCGCGCGAAGGGCCCGCGCGCGAGGGGGGGTGCGTCGTCGCGCGCGTGGCTAGTCTGCTCTTCTGCTCGCTTTGCGTCGAACGCCCCGTGCAGGCGCGCCGCGGGGATCGCGTCGGGGCGGTTCGCGGCGCGCCTCGGGGTCGTGCGATGTGCAGGCATTGGTGCTTGCATCTCGCAGGCATGTGCGCTTGCGTCCCGCCGTGGCGGACGGCGCGCGCGCTTTCGCGGTCGTGGCTGCCCGTCGTGTCGCGGCTGCTTGTCGTGTGGTGTCCTGGCTGCTTGTCGTGGCTTGTTGGTCGCCGTGTCGTGGCCGTCTGTCGTGGCTGCCCTCCTGGCTGCTTTGCTTCCGGTCGGGGGCGTCTGGCTGGTCGTGTCGCGGCTGTCCTCCGGTGCGTCGTGGGCGTCGCGTCGTGGCTTCTTGCCGCCGTGTCGGGGCGGTCTGGCCTGTCGTTCGCCGCCGCGCGCGCGCGCCGGTCGCCGCTCTCTTCTCCCTGTGCAGGTTCCTTCCTCGCTCCCTCCTCCGCCAGGCGCAGGTGCATCCATCTTCCTCTTCGACAAGATCCCCTCGTCTGTTTTGCTGGCTCGATCGAGGTCAGGACTTCCCTCTGGCGTGGGCTGGCCCACGCTCTGGCTCCGCCCTCGCGCGTTCTCCCGGCTGGTCTCCTCGCGCGCTCGCTTGCCCGCGTGGCTTCTCGCGCGTTGTGTGCGCCGCCTGCTCCTCGTCTGGCAATTCTGGGGCCCTCTTGGTTCCTTCGCTGGCGCAGGCCAATGCGGCTTGTCCCCGCGCGGGCGCATATCGTCCGTCGTCCCCGCGTGGCCATGCGGGGCCAGTGCGGCTTTCGCAGGTGCGCGGGCCCAGTCGGCCCATGCAGTTGGCGCTTCTGCACCCAATCGGCTTCCAACGCCGGTGCAGGCCAATGCGGCTTGCTATCGCACGGGCGCATATTGTCCGTCGGCCCCAAGTGGCCGTGCGGGGCCAATGCGGCCCTCGCAAGTGCTCCGGCGCAGGCCAATACGGCATGTCATTATACAGGCGCATACTGTCCGTCGGCCCCACGTGGCCATGCGGGGCCAATACGGCTTTCGCAGGTGTGCGAGCCCAGTCGGCCCAAGCTGTTGGCTGCTCTTGCACCCAGTCGGCTTCCAACGCTGGTGCAGGCCAATACGGCTTGCTTTCGCACGGGCGCATATTGTCCGTCGGCCCCGAGTGGCCGTGCGGGGCCAATGCGGCCCTCGCAAATGCTCCGGCGCAGGCCAATACGGCTTGTCATTATACGGGCGCATATTGTCCGTTGGCCCCACGTGGCCATGCGGGCCCAATACGGCTTTCGCAGGTGCGCGGGCCCAGTCGGCCCAAGCGTCTGGCTGCTCCTGGACCCAACCGGCTTCATACGCCGCTGCAGGCCAATACGGCTTGCTTTCGCACGGGTGCATATTGCCCGTCGGCCCCAAGTGGCCGTGCGGGGCCAAATCGGCCCTCGCAAACGCGCGGGCCCATTCGGCCCCAGCGCTCAGTGGCTCTGGTGCAGGCCACTACGGCTTGGCATTTTACGGGCGCTTATTGTCCGTCGGCCCAGAGCGGCCACGCGCGGCCAATGCGGCCTGCGCCGCAGCGTGGGCGCTCCCTTCGCGTCGTCGCGTCACCTTTCCGTCAGCGTCAAGCGCAGCAACGGCTGAGTCTTGTGCTGTGCGCGCCCGCAACGCACTGCTTCGCGATGGCCGAAGCCGCGCCGGAGACTGTTCGCGCTTTTCTCCAGCGCGTCGAGGGGGCGGGCGCGCAGGAGGCCGCCTGGTTCGACTCGGTCGCAGCGGCGCTGGCAGCCGAGAGCATCACCGTGCCCTCAGAGCTGGCCGGGGCCAAGTTTGAGGACTTCCGCTTCCAGAATGCCGATCTGGATGGCGGCAAGAAGCGCTGCGTCCGCGCGGCCATCAAGTTGGCCGGGCGCGAGAAGGCCGGCGTTCCCGCGCAGCGCGAGCGGCGCGCGCGTGCACGCTCGCGCGCAGGGTGAAATGAAGGAGCTGCAGACGGCCGCGGGATCGGCCAGCGGGGACGCCAGTGCCGCCCTCCTCGCGTTTCTCCAAAAGAAGGACGAGGCTTGTCGACGCGACAGCGCGCGCCCGCCGCCGCGCGACGTCGCGTGCGTCGCGTCGCAGGCGCCCGCGGCGGCCCACGTGGACATTTGTGCCACGCTCAAGACCGCGAGCCTCGAAGGCTTGCCCAGCGACCTCCTGCCCAGGCGATGCGCGGCTTGCCACGGCGGGGAGCGCGCGCCATCTTGCGCGCGACACTTGCGGCGTAGCTCCGACCTCGTGGATGAGCTTGCCAGCGAAGTGGCCAAGCTTCGGAAGCGCGGCATCGAAAAAGGTTTCGTCAACGTGAAGCTAGCCAGGTGGCTGCCGCAGCACCTCGCCGGGGCGCTTCGCGATGCCGGCGAAGACGAAGCCAAGCTTTCGGAGGACTTGAAAAACTTAGCACAGGCGCAGCGCCTCACCGTCGCGTGCGCTCGCGCCGCGCCTATTTCCTCGCGCGAGGCCATGGGGGCGAAGGCGACGCCCAAGCGCGTCATGCCGACGCTCAGCCAATGGCACCTCGCGTGGAGTCGCTACGCGGTCGGTGCCCACGCCGCCGGCCAGCTGAGCTACGCCGCGGCCGCAGCCCATCGCGACGTCTGCATGGCGGTGGGCCTCGGGGCGGCCCGCAACGAGCGGCGGGTGCAGCTCGCCGTCTATTATGACGAGCAGGCCCGCAAAGATTGGGCGGAACGCTCGCGCTCTGGCGACCCGACCTTCGTGGCCCGCACGCGTTTTCTCGCGAACGTGTTTCCGCGCCGCGTTGGCCGCGCCGGTTGCGCGCAGGCAGATCGCGCGGCGAAGCGCGTGGACACCGCCATTCTCAATCGCGCAGAGGAG